TCATTTTCTTTCTTCCTTTTTTTGGTGGCTGGACAGTACAGTCTTTTTCTTTAAAAGTAACATATTTCAACTATTTCTAGAACACTGTTGCTTTTCCTTGATTGGCTTTTAAAAATTAATGCCCACAAAATACTTTATAAAGTAATGAGACCACTTCTTAATTCATACACTGGACTTCATGCATCCAAGTGAATGGTATTCTTCCAAATAGCCCATCTTGGAGGATCTGTGTCAAATCCTGTGTTATCAAAATAGGAGGTGCTCAGTTTCCCTGGGTTCAGGTTTCAGGACACACCTTTGGGTTTCAAGCCACTCCCCAAGGTCTCAGGGCCCTCCCCTAGGCCCTCCACTAGAGGACAGTTATTGTTGTTTGTTAGACCTATTTTCCATACCAACATGGGGAGATTGAGACCACAAGAGGCAGACTTATGCAAATACAGCAGCTGAGCATGCTCAGTAAAAAGAATTTATACAGTCTTATATGACCCCAGTGACCAAGCATGCATAGTGGAAGGGAGTTTGTCCTTTGAAAGACCTTCCACTAGTGGTGCTAAAGACCACAGAATATTCTTGAATATATTCAGTGCATGTGATGGGATTTGACCGATGAACATGTTCCAAAAGGAGACTAACTATTCATGTGCAGACTACATTATGAAACAAGGATCTACCCCTCCTTAGTTGAATATTCATTAGGTAGCATGAATATCAATTAGACAGTGAAACTATAAAAACTGAATCCAGGAAGAAGGCAGGGCTGTTGCTCACTCTCCCTGGGGCCAGCCTACACTCTGCCTGTGGAGTATGTATTTCTTTCTTACTTTCAGCAAGCAGCAGCTCCCTCCCTTGAGCAAGCCTGCACTCTGTACTAAACGTTGAGTGTGTGTTTCTTTTACCCTGCTCAATCTCTGGAGCTAGGCCACATTTTCTCTGTGAAGTCTGTTTGTTTTATTTGTTGCTATTTATGTGTTGTCTGTCTCCCAGACTAGAAGGTAAATTCATGAAAACAGAGACTTTACTTACTACAGTGTCTGCAGCACCTATGCATAGCAGAAGCTTGGCAGATATTTGTTCTGTGCCCTTTTCTCATCAAGTTAAAAGATCTTCGTATGTTACAAATATCAATCTTTTCTCATATGCTGCACTATCACCCAGTTTATCATTTAGCTTTTAATTTTGTGTGGTTGTTTTTGATCAGCATACATTTTAAATTTAAGAGAATCTTTTATTCAAGAAATTCCTGTTTCATCTAAAGATAATATAAATATTTGCTTATACTTTTATGGCTTCCATTTGCACATTTAACTTTTCAATCCTGATAGGCTTTCTTAGTTATAGTGTCAGGTATAGAGTTTCCCCCTACAAATTGAACAATTTTTCATTCATGCTTTATAGAGCACTGCTTTATCTATTCTTCCACCTGTCCACCCATTTACCCATCTAATGTGAGTCTTATTACCACTATATTTATCAATTAAAACACACATTTTCATTTATTTTTGTAAAAAAAATTCTAGAATCAAGTTACCTGCCACAACAAAAACATTCCTATGAATTTTATTAGTATTGCTTTAAATTTGTACAAACAGTTCATGACTTGTGATTTTTTGACTTTACAGTGGGTTTATCAGGGTTTTAAATGCATCTTCACCTTATGATATTTTTTATTTACTATGGGTTTGTTGGGAGGTAACCCCATCGTAAGTCAAGGAGCATCTGTATATCAAATTGGGAAGAGTCATGGTCTTTTGAGGTGATGCATATGCTAATTACTCTGATTTGACATTGTGCAAGGTATAAATGAAACATCACACTGTACCCCATAAATATGTACAATTATTATGTGTCAATTAAAAATAAAATAAAACTTTTTAAAAAAGAAAAAATGTAAATTTCTTTTACAAAAGGGGAATTTTATAATTTATTTTAGGCAGTTGAGGGGGAGGTAAAGAGTTTTTCCTACGCTGGCTGCTTCTCAATTTCTTTTAGCTCAAAATAATAAATATTCCAAAGTGGCATATTTGGGGTGACATGTTCAAACCAACCTCTTCAGCAACAACTAATCTATTTTCTGTCTGTACAGATTTGCTATTCTGGACATTTTACATAAATGGAATTATACAATATACAATATATGGACTTTTGTGACTGGCTTCTTTCACTTTGTGTAATGTTTTCAAGGTGTATCCATGTCATGCAGGTAGCAATACTTCATTTCGTCAATCAGTGAATAATATTCTATTTTGTAAATATTTTACATGTTATTTATTTATTCATCATTTGATGGACGTTTTGGTTATGTCCACTTTTTGACTATTATGAATAATTACTGTTCTGAATATTGGTGTAAAGTTTTTGTGTAAACAGATGTTTTAATTTCTTTTGGGGAATATACCTAGGAGGAGAAGTGCTGAGTCAAATGGCAATTCTATGTTTAACCTTTTGAGTAACTGCCAGGAGTATTTTCCAAAGAAGTTGCACTATTTTATACTCCCACCAGCAGTGTATGAGTGTTCCAGTTTCTCTACATGCTTGCCCATATTTGTTATTATATCCTTTTTTTTATTATAGCCATTCTAGTGGGTGTAAACTTGTATCTTATTACAGCTTTCTGCATTTCCCTGATGGCTAATGATGTTGAGCATCTTTTCACAGAACTCCACTTTCATACCATGTTTCACTGACTGTGGCCTAGGTTTAGTCTGCCTTAAAGCCATTTCCTAATCTCAGCATCATTAGCCATCTGGAGAGCCCGGGAATTTTCAAACCTAGAAATTTTGACCATATTTTATTTAATAGTGGATTTCTCTCCTCTCCTATTATACTATAAGCATCAAGCAGCCAGAAGGAATCATCAGCATGCTGACTGGAAATCTCCTTAACTAGATCATCAGTTCATTGGGTATATTTTCTACTTTCCATCTTACTATAGGTGACTGTGTTACTAAATTTTCTGCCTCAATGTAATATGGATTCCCTTATCTCCCTGCTGTAGATTGGATGCCCCTCCCCCAACTTCATTGAAGCTTAAATCCCCACTGTAACTAATGAGGGTGGGAAATCCTATTATGGTAGTTGAAAGGTGGGGCCTTGGAGAATTGATTAGATTGTAGGACCATGCTGTGGTGAATGGATTAATAATGGCAGTCAGGGGCGTGGTTCTGAGGGCTTTAAAAGAAGAGCACATGAGAGGTTAGTCTCTCTGCTCCACCATTTTCTACCACGTGAGAACTCTGGGTCACTGTCACCACCACCAAGGCCTTCACCAAATGTGTTCCCTGGACTTTGGACTTCCCAGCCTCTGAAACTATAAGCAATAAATTTTATTTTCTTTATAAATCACCCAGTTTCAGATATTTATGTTATGAAATGGACTAATACACTCTCATTTCCAAAAATTTTTTTCTCCCTTTTTTTTGGCTGCTGGTTAGTACAGGTATCTGAACCCTTGACTTCAGTGTTATCAGCACCACACTCCAAGTGAGTTAATCAGCCAGCCCTCTCTCTTTCCTTTAAGGTTCCCCTTTCATCTGAAACCTCTTTAAAGTCCATCAGACTTTTTCTAATATATCTTCAAAGGCATTTCAGCTTTTACTAATACTTCTCAAAGTCCTTCTGGCTTCTGCCCATTGCTGGTTCCAAAGCTTTTCCCACATTTCAGTTTTTGTTTTCATAGCACCCTATTTCCAAATACTGGAATTAGTTATCTTCATTAGTTATTCTCACTAGTTATAGCTATATTTGTTATGTATTGTTGTACAACAAATTACCCCCTCCCTACCCTTCCAAATAAATGGCTTAAAACAATAAACCAATTATTTTACACCATGTCTAGCTATCCTCCTTGTTCTGGAGCAGGGCCTCTGACGAGGTTGCAGTTAAGATGGGCTGGAGGATCCACGTCCAAGATGAATCCCTATAGCAGAGGCTGTAGGCAGGGGGCCTCAGTTTCTTGCCATGTAGACCCCTTCACAGATTGCCCAAGAGTCCTTAGAATGTGGTATTGGCTTCCCTCAGTGGGTGACCCAAGAGAGCAAGGCAGAAGCTGCCATGTCTTTTGCCACCTAGCTTCATGATCCACACACCAGCATTTCCACAATTTTCTTTTTGTTACACAAGTCAACCCTATTCAGTGTGGGAGGTACTACACAAGAGTGTGAAAACCAGGAGACAAGAATTATTGAGGCCATCCTGGAGGCTAGCCCCACAGCAATGGAGGCCTGGGCACAGCTATGGTGGTGCTGATGCTGGCTGGGTAAAGCTGTGGCCAGAGCTGAACCTGAGGTCAAAGCTGGGGAGGATGGTAGCATTAGAGCACTGCCAAGGCTGGGCCACCACCCAAACACCCCTTCCCCAGCGCCAGAGGGTGGGCTGCAGTCAGGGCCACCTGGCCTGTCTGAGAGCAGACCTGGAACTCTCCTTCCTCTGGGGGCCCCTCCCATGAGCCTCAGGTGTCTCCCTCCAGAAGGGGCCGTGGGGGCAGGGCCCCTGGGAAACCCCTTGAGGTTAGGCCCACCACCACCAGGATGCCAAGGGCCTGAGAATTTCCTACATTTAGATGTGGGCCGAAGCCCACCTGGAGACATGGACAAACTGACAGGACAATTCCACATTCCTGGGCATCGCACTCCCGATACCCCCCCCCGCAAATAATCACCCAAGCAACGGCCCCCCACACACACACCCTCATCAAGATACACCGCCCCTTTGACAGGAAGGACCTCAGCGTGGCCAGAGCGCTCGGCGGCCGGCCGCGGAACTACACTTCCCAGAAGGCTGTGCTACTCACCCGTCCGGGTCGGACGCCAGGGCAGCTCCGGGGCCACGAGCCCTCTGGGAAATGGAGTCCGACGCCTGCGCGGCGCAAAGGCTCCCGGGAGATGTAGTTTGCGCTCGTTCCGCGCAGGCGCACCTTTCCGCGGCGGCCGCTGTTCTTTTGTGGAAGTCCAACGTGACGAGCCGCTGGGGCTTGTGGGGGTGTGTGGGGTGTGGGTGTGTCTGTGGACGGGTGTGATGGGGTGAGCCCCGTGTGAGGTGGGCTGTGTTTGCTGAGCTCAGCCGGGGCGCGGGGAGGGGGCTCCGTGCGTGTGATCGTGCAGCTGTGCGCGCGTGTGCGATCCTGCGAGCATCCCCTGCTGCCGGCTGTCCCTGAGTCCCGGGAGCAGGACTCGCTCCTCTGGGCCTGACCTGGGGTCCTGGAGGCTACAGAGCTGCCCACTCCTCAGGGGGACGCCGCCGAGGGGCGCCATGGAGACCCCGGCCCCGAAGCACGAGGAGACAGGTACAGCTTCGCTCTGTGTCTGTGGATTTGTATTTGAAGAGACTGAAAGTGAATTTTCCTGCTATGAAGTTCTATGCAGAAAATGCACTAATGAGAGCTGCACGAACACCATTGATGAATCTCACCTACACAATAAGCAAGAAGAGAATTACGCACACACTCCATACAGAGTGATTCCACTTAAATAATATAATTCAAAAATTGACAGAAATAAATTCTATTGCTGAGGAGTGGAAAGGCATTATAAAACTGTAAAGGTAAACACGGAAATTATTACTGTAAAAGCCAGAGGAATTATTACTATTGTAAAGGCCTAAGGGTATGGATAGGTGAGGGAGAGGGGTTGTAATAGAAAAGGTCAACTTTATAAGAAACTGAAACTTCCAAAGCGGCTGATCCATTTAACACTCCCACCAATAACGTGTGAGAGTTGCATTTGTACCAGAAACTTACCGACAATTGGCAGTCTCGTTCTTTTAAATTTTAGCCCTTGTAATGGCATGTGGTAATATCCCAGTGTGTGTGTTTGTGTGTGTGTTGGGGGGGGGGGGTCGTGGGGGTGACGCGGGCAACTAGCCAGTAAGGGGATCCAAACCCTTGACCTTGGTGATATCAACACCAGGCTCTAACCAAGTGAGCTAACCAGCCAGCCCCTCATTGTGTTTTTAATTTGGATTTTCCTGATGACATAATGAGTATGTTTTCATGTGCTCATTTAATATGCATTTTTATATCTTCTTTGGGGAAGATATGTTTAAGTCCCTTGCCCATTTTTTTAATTGGGTTGTTTGTGGTTTTGTCTTTTATATATTAAATTCATATGTCTGTGTGTATTGTGTATGCATTATCTCATATATATAGTGAATATTTCCTTGGAGTCTATGGCTTGCTGTGTCAGGGGTCTCCAAGACCACCCTCAAGCTTGATGTTTCACTAGAAGGACTCATGGGACTCAGAAGTTGTTTTACTAATGGTTAGTCTTTATTATACCGAAAGAATACAGAGTAAAATTAGCAGAGACGTCTTAGTCTGTTCAGGCTGCCATAACAAAATACCATGAACTAGATAGCTTGTAAACAACAGAAATTTTTATTTCTCACAGTTCTGGAGGCTGGGAAGTCCAAGATCAAGGCATTGGCAGATTGTCTGGAGAAGGCCTGCTGTTTCACAGATGGCACTTTCTTGCTGTGTTCTCATATAGTGGAATTAGCAAGACTCTCAGGACTCTTTTATAAGGGTGCTAATTCCTTTTGTGAGGGTGGAGCCTTCCTGACTTAATCCCCTCACAAAATTCCCACCTCCTAAAACCATCACATTGGTGATTATTTTCAACATATGAGTTTGGGGGGGACACAAGCACTCAGAACATAGCAAAAGGGAGAAGGCACATGGAAAATAGTCTGGAGGAAACCAGGCACAAGCTTCTAGCTGTCTCCTCTGAGTGGAGTTTTAAGGGATGCATTTAATTCCCCCAGCAATGATGCATGACAACATGTGTGAAATATTACCAATCAGAAAGCTCACCTGAACCTGGGCATCCAGCATTTTTATTGAGGATCAGTTACATGGGAATATAGTGCTGTGTGACTTATCTCAGTTACTGAAGCTCTAGTCCCCTAGATGGGAATCACATGTTCATTATAAATCACACTGTTAGTGTAAACTATCTGGACAAACTAATACAGTGTGGCTGAAGCCTTCAGGCATGCAAAAACACTCTTATCCAACAGAACATTCTAAGAGCTCAGTTCCCAGGAGCCACCCAAGGGCCAGTCCTGAAAACAGACCTTTGTTGGGAATGTGCAGGGTTTGGGCAACTCAGGCCTGCTGAATTAACCCTTTTCTGTACGCTTGCTTTTTAATTTTCTTAATGATGTCTTTTATAGAGCAGAAATTTTAAATTTTAGTGAAGTCCAATCATCAGCTTTTTATGGTTAATGTTTTTTGAGTCCTACCTAAGAATCTTTGCCTACAACAAAGTCACAAATATTTCCTCTTATATTTTATTCTAGAAGCTTTGTACTTTTAGCTTTTCTGTTTAGCTCTGTAATTCTAATTAATTTCTTTTTGTATTTGGTAAAGTATATGGCAAGAGTGATTTTTTTCACCCACATGACTATATTAGTAAGATTCCAATCCCAAGACAGAAATTACACAGTAATTTCATTGGGGAAAGTTTAATATATAGAATTATTGGTGTATTGAGGTTAGTAAGAAATAAGGAGACCCTCATATTTCATGACCTTGCTTAATTTACTTACTAATTTTGAAGGTTTTGTTGTAGATTCCTTAGGCTTTTCTTTCTTTTTTTTTTTTTTCCTTTTTGTCTTTTTTTCGTGCCCGGCAACGGATTGCAACCCTCAGTGTCGCGCCCATACCGGACCGGGACCGGCCACGGGATGGCCACGGGATCGCAACCCTCGGTGTTGCTCCCACCCCTCGCTCAGCCAGTGAGCGGCCGGTCTGCATGTGGGATCCGAACCCTCGGCGGGAGCGCCACCACGCTTCCCAAGTGGCGCACTAAAGCAGTGCGCCACCGGGCCGGCCCTTTTTTTTTTTTCCCTTAGGCTTTTCTATGGAGATAATCGTATTGTCTGCAAATAGTTTTACTTCTACTCTCTTACTATTTATGCTTTTTATTTCTTTTTTCTTATTTTATTTCACTGACTAGGACCTCCAGTACAATGCCAAATAGAAATGGTGAGAAAAACATCCTTATCTACTTCCCAATATTAGGGTAAAAACATTCAATTTAGGGCCGAGCCCGTGGCGCACTCAGGAGGGTGCGGCGCTGGGAGCGCGGTGGCGCTTCCGCCGCGGGTTCGGATCCTATATGGGGATGACCGGTGCACTCACAGCGTCACTGGCTGAGAGCGGTGCGGCCGGTCTCAAAAAGGACAAAACAAACAAACAAACAAAAAAAACATTCAGTTTATCACTATTTATTATGATGTGAAGTGTACGTATTTTTTTTGTAGAGGTCCTGTGCATTAGTCTGTTTCTATTGCTTATAATGGGATTTGTAAAAATGGTTGGATAATTTGTAAAGAAATGAAATTTATTTTTTACACTTTTAGAGGCTGGGAAGTCCAAAGTCCAGGGGACACATCTGGTGAGGACCTTCTTCCTGATGGGCTACTCTCTGTTACAATTCAGGGTATCATATAACAAGTACGGTCTGAGCAAGAAAGCTAAACTTTTCACACAATGTCCTTGTAAAACCATCAGAACCACACCCATTACTCTGTGAATGGGTCAGTCCATTCACAAGGGCCCAGTCCTCACAAATCTAATCACCTCTTAAAGGCCCCACCTTTCAAATATAATTAGATTTCCCACCCTCTTAGAACTGTTACAATGGGGGGCCGGCCCGGTGGCGCACTGCTACAGTGCGCCGCTTGGGAGCATGGCAGCGCTCCCGCCGAGGGTTCGGATCCCACATACAGACCGGTTCCTGCTCACTGGCTGAGCGAGGTGCGGGCGTGATGCCGGGGGTTGCGATCCCGTTGCCAGTCATGGTCCGGTAAGGGCGCGACACTGAGGGTTGCGATCCGTTGCCGGACATGAAAAAAGACAAAAAAAAAAAAAAGAAAGAAAAAAAAGAACTGTTATAATGGGGATCAAGTTTCCAATACATGAACTTTTGGGCAACACATTTAACCCATAACACCTTGTATCAACTAAGTTCACTCCCGGTTTGCTGAACATTTTTACCATGAATTGGTGTTGAATTTTATTGAATGCTTTTCTGCATATATAAAGATATTATATTGTTTTGCTCCTTTATTCTGTTAATGTGATCAATTACATACATTTTCTAATGTTGAACCAACGTTTTATTTCTGAGATAAACTCAGTAGGTCATGATACACACACACACATGCACATACTATATATATATATATATACATTTGATTTGCTAATATGTATTAAAGATTTTTATCTATGTTTGTGAGTGAGATTGGTCTTTAATTTTCTTTTCTTTCAAGATCATTCAATTTCAATGATTTGTCAGGTTTTGGTGTCACGGTTGTTGGTCTCATAAAAGCAAGTTAGAAGGAATTTTTTTTTCTTTTCTTTTTTTTTTTGACTTTATGTAAGAATTTTACCCTTAAATGTTTGATAGCATTCATTATTGAAACCATCAAGGTCTGGAATTTTCTTTGTGGGAGGAGCTGTTCTGGAAGATAAATGTGGTCTACACTGTGTTAAATGCCTCACAGAGGTCAGAAAAAAACAAGGAACCCAAGTAAAAGCCCCTCTTTCCTTCACAGCACAGAGCCACAGGTATACAAGTGACATGTCCTGCCTGCCCCTGTTGGGGTGCTGGGCTAGGGTGGGCTCTCCTCTCTGGATAGTTCAGAGCCCCACAAGACAAAGTACTCATGTGTCCTCTCTCTTCCTGCAGCTGTTCCTGGAGAAGAGGATACAGCCAAGGCACAGGTAACAGCGAGGAGTTTGCTTTTGGTACAGGTGCCAAGTTAGGTAGGGCATTCTTTCATGCATTGACTGTTCTGATTTTTGCACATTTATTTATTGGGGTCATAATGTTTTTTAAAAACTATTTTCATGAATTCTTTTTGAGGAGAAGTTAAAGCAATAACTACCCATTTCCCCCTTTTCCCAGCCTCTGGTAACCTCTAATCCACTTTCTGTCTCTATGAATTTGTCTAGTGTAGATATTTCATGTAAACGGAATCATATAATATTTGTATATTGTTATATTTAAGAAACCATTGTCAAAACGAAGGCCATGAAGATTTGCCTTTTTCTTTTCTTCTAACAGTTTTGGAGTTTTGGCTATTAAATTTAGGTCTTTCATCCATTTTGTGTTAATTTTGATATATGGTATAAAGTAAGGGTCCAACTTGATTCTTTTGTAAGCAGATATTCAGTTTTTCCTGCACCATCTGGTGAAGAGACTGTTCTTTCTCCATTGAGTAGTCTTGGCATCCTTTCCAAAAATCAGTTGGATATAGAAGTGAGAGTTTATTTCTAGGCTCTTAATTCCATTCTATTGATCAATATATTTTTCCTTATTCCAGTATTACTTTGTTTTAATTGCTGATGCTCTGTAGTAAGTTTTGAAATCAGGAAGTGTGAGTCCTCTAACTTTGTTCCTCTTTTTCAAGAATGTTTTGTCTATTCTGGTTCCTTTGAAATTAATATGTATTTTAGGATGAGTTTTTCCATTTTTGCAAAAAATACCATTGGGATTTTGGTAGGGATTCATTAGGTCTATATATTGTTTTGGGTATTATTGATATCTTAACGATATTAAGTTTTCCAATCCATAAACACAAGATATCTTCCATATCTTTTGGTCTTCTTTAATTTCTTTCAGCAAGTTTTCTTGCACCTCGTTGGTTAAATTTGTTCCTACATGTTTTATGTTTTTTGATGGTATTGTAAATGATACTATTTTGTCAAATTTTTTTTTCACATTGTTCATTGATGTTGTATTAAAATACAACTATTTTTTTTGTATTTATATTGTGTTCTACAACTTTGCTAAATTTGTTTATTAACTCTAATAGAGTTTTTGTGTATATGTGTGTGTGGAATCATTAGGGGTTTCTACATATAAGATCATGTCATCTCCAAATAAAGATATTTTTCCTTTTTCCTTTCCAATTGTGTACATTATATCTTTTTCTCACCTAGTTTCTCTAGCTAGAATTTCTGGTAGTATGTTGAATAAAAAGTAGGAAAGGTTGTCCATTCTCACATTCTTACTCAGTTTGGTTATGGAACTTGATTAAACTTAATTAAAACTTTTAATTTTTAATTAAAATTATTTGTGGCTGTAATTAAAAAATTAGTGTAAGTCTAACACAATATGTACAGGACTTGTATGCTGAAAATCACACAATGCTGATGAAAGAAATCAAGTAAGTTCTAATGAATGGAGACACAGTTTCATGGATGACTTAACATGGTCAAGATGTCAGTTCTTTCCAAATTGATATCCAAGTATCACACAATTCCTGTCAAAATCATAGCAAGATTTTTTTATAGATACAGATAAGATTATTCTGAAATTCGTATGGAAAATCAAGGGAACTAGAATATCTAAAATTTTTTTTTTTTTTTTTTTTTTTTTTGTCTTTTGTCTTTTTTCCGTGTCCGGCAACGGATCGCAACCCTCAGTGTTGCCCCCGTACCGGACCGGGGACCGGCAATGGGATCGCAAGCCTCGGTGTTGCTCCCACGCCTCGCTCAGCCAGTGAGCGGGAGCCGGTCTGTATGTGGGATCCGAACCCTCGGACGGGAGCGCCGCCGCGCTTCCCAAGCGGCGCACTATCCAGTGCGCCACCGGGCCGGCCCCAGAAAATTTTTTTTTTTTAATAAAGATGACCGGTAAGGGGATCTCAACCCTTGGCTTGGTGTTGTCAGCACCACGCTCAGCCAGTGAGCAAACCAGCCATCCCTATATAGAATCCGAACCCGTGGTCTTGGTGTTATCAGCAACACACTCTACCGAGTGAGCCACGGGCCGGCCTAGGGAAAGCTTTTTTTTTTTTTTTTTGTCTTTTTCGTGACCGGGCATCGCAACCCTTGGTGTGGTGTCGCCCGCACTGCGCTCAGCCAATGAGTGCACCGGCCATTCCTATATAGGATCCGAACCCACAGCGGGAGCATAGCTGCGCTCCCAGCGCCGCACTCTCCCGAGTGCGCCATGGGGCTGGCCCTAAAATAATTTTTTTTTTCCTTTTTGTCTTTTTTTTCGTGACCGGCAACGGATCGCAACCCTCAGTGTCGTGCCCGGACCGGACCGGGACCGGCCATGGGATCGCAACCCTCGGTGTTGCTCCCGCCCCTCGCTCAGCCAGTGAGTGGCCAGTCTGTATGTGGGATCCGAACCCTCGGCGGGAGCGCCACCGCACTTTCCAAGCGGCGCACTACAGCAGTGCGCCACCAGGCCGGCCCCCTAAAATAATTTTGAAAGAGAAGAATATAGTGGGAGCAATCAGTCTACCCCATTTCAAGATTCATTATATAGCTACAGTAATTAATACTGTGTGGTATTGGTGGAGGGATAGACACATGTATTAATAAAACAGAATAGAGGGCCGGCCCAGTGGCGCACTCGGTAGAGTGTGGCGCTTGGGAGCGCAGCAGCGCTCCCGCCGAGGGTTCGGATCCCATATAGAGACCAGTCCGCTCAATGGTTGAGCACGGTGCGGGCGCGACACCGAGGGTTGCGATCCCGTTACCGGTCACGACAAAAAGACAAAAAGGAAAAAAAAAAAAACAGAATAGAGAACCAAGAACAGACCCAAATAAATAGGCCCAACTGATTTTTGACAAAGATGCAAAAAACAATTCAATAGAGGAAAGATAGCCTTCTCAACAAATGGTACTGGAGCAAAAAAAGAAACTGTCACCAAAATCTCACCGTATATAAAAATTAATTCAATATGCATTATGGATTTAAATCTAAAGTATAAAATAAAATGGGATTTAGGGCTAGGCAAAGAGTTTCTCGACTTGACACCTAAAGCACAATCATAAAAGGAAAAATTGATAAATTAGAGTTTAATTATTATGCATACCAGCCAGCTGCAAAAAAAAAATTAATTTAATTTAATTAATCTTTGCTCTGTAAAGACCCTGATGAAAAGACAAGTTACGAAATGGGAGAAGATATTTGCAGATATACAATAAAGGACTAGTATTTAGAATATATAAAGAGCTCTCAAAACAACATGCAAAAACAATCCAATTAGAAAATGGACAAAAGACATAAGAGACCTTTCACCCAAGAGGATATATAAATAGAAAATAAGTATGTGCAAAAGATGTTTAACATCATTAGCCATTAGAGAATTGCAAATTAAAACCACAAGGATGGGCCGGCCCAGTGGCACACTGCTACAGTGCGCCGCTTGGGAAGCGCGGTGGCGCTCCCGCCGAGGTTTCGGATCCCACGTGCAGACCGGCAGCTCACTGGCTGAGCGAGGAGCGGGGGCAACACCGAGGGTTGCGATCCCATGGCCGGTCCCGGTCCGGTACGGGCGCAACACTGAGGGTTGCGATCCGTTGCCGGTCACAAAAAAAAAAAAAAAAAACCACAAGGATGGGCCGGCCCAGTGGCACACTGCTACAGTGCGCCGCTTGGGAAGCGCGGTGGCGCTCCCGCCGAGGTTTCGGATCCCACGTACAGACTGGCCACTCACTGGCTGAGCGAGGTGCGGGCGCAACGCCGAGGGGTGCGATCCGTTGCCGGTCAAAAAAAAAAAAAAAAAAAAACCACAAGGATGACCTAGTAATCCCACCTCTGGTTATGTAGCCAGCAGAATTGAAAGCAGGGTCTCAAAGAGATATTTGTACACCCACATTCATAGCAGCATTATTCACAATAGCCAAAAGGCGGTAACAACTCAAATGTCCACAAAATGTGGTATATACATATAATGGCATAGTACTCAGCCTTACAAAGGAAGGAATTCTAACGCATGCTACGACATGAATGATCCTTGAGGACGTTTTGCTGAGTGAAATAAGCCAGTTACAAAAAGACAAATACTGTATGATTACACTTATATGAGGTAACTAGTGTAATAAAATGCACAGAAACAGAAAGTAGATGTTTGCCAGGGGCTGGGGGAGGGGAAATTGGGAGTTGTTGCTTAATATAGTTTCAGTTTTGCAAGATGAAAAAGTTCTGGAGATTGGTTGCACAACAGTGTGAATGTTCTTAACACTCCTGAACTGTACACCTAAAAATGGAAAAGATGGTAAATTTTATGTTTATATGTTTTTTAATACAACTTTTAAAAAGAGCAGAAAGATATGCAAGATGTCATACACAGATATCAGAATGGGTAAAATAAAAAATAGTGACGGGCCGGCCCGGTGGTGCACTGTTGAGTGCGCTGCTTGGGAGTGCGGCGGCGTTCCCGCCGAGGGTTCAGATCCCATGTGGAGACCGGTTCCCGCTCACTGACTGAACGCGGTGCGGGAGCAACACCGAGGGTTGCGATCCCGTTGCCAGCCCCGGTCTGGTACAGGCGCGACACTGAGGGTTCCGATCCGTTGCCGGTTACGAAAAAAGACAAAAAGGAAAAAAAAAATAGTGACAAAACCAAATGCTGACGAGGATGCTCATACATTGGATCACTGGGTCACTCATACATTGCTGGTCAGAATGTAAAATTGTACAGCCACTCTGAAAGACAGTTTGGCAGTTTCTTTAAAAACTAAACTTGCAACTACCATATGGCCCAGCACAAAACCTTGGACGTCAATGTTTATAGCAGCCTTATTCATAATAGCCAAAAAGTGCAAACAATTCAAATATCCATCAACTGATCAATGGATAAATAAAATTAAGTATATCTATACAATGAAATATTATTTACCAATAAAAATGAAGTTCTGATACATGATACAACATGGACACACCTTGAAAACATGCTAAGTGAAAGAAGCCAGTCACA